GAAGTAGAAAAGAAACTGAGAGGGAGGTGGTGGGGAGGGGGAGAGGGGAGAGGGGGTTAGACGGTGTGGGGGTGAATTGGAGAGGAGAGGTGAGAGAAAGAAGGAGGGGTAGAAGAGAGGAGGGAGGGTAGAGAAAGAGCGATGGGATGGGAAACGGAAGGGGAGGGGAGAGGGAGAGGGAAAAGGAAGGATAGAGCGAGGAAACGGGCGAGTAGAGAAGGAGTTAAAGGAGGTGAGAAAAGAGAGAAGGATCATAGAGGTATGAGAAGAGAGAGAGAGAGAGGGAAGGAGATGAGAGAAAGAGAGGAGAGAGAGAGGAAGGAGAGAAAGAGGGAGGGAAGAGAAAGAAGAGAGAGTGGCGGGGGAAGGAGGCGAGAAGGAGGAAGAAGAGGAAGACGAAGGGAGAAAGGGAGGGCAGCGAGGGAGGAAGGAGGGGGCAGGAGGGGGAGGGAGGAGAAAGGAGATGGAGGAAATAGAGAGGAAGAGGAGAGAGGGAGGGAGAGGGAGAGGGAATATAGAGGAAGGGAGGGAGGAGGGAGAGGAGAGAGTGAGGGGGAGAGGCTAAAGGGAAGGAAGGAAGAGAGAAGAGAGGGAAAGAGGGAGGGAAGGACAGGGAAAGAGTGAAAAGGGGGAGGAGAGAGGATGGGAAGGAGGAGGGGTAGGAGAAAGGGAGAGATCGAGGAAGGGAGGGAAGAGAGAAGGACAGAGGGAGAGAAGATAGGAAATGATGGAATGACGGGAGAAGGAAGGAGGAAGGAAAGGGAAGAGGGAGACAAACAAACTGAAAGTAAAAAGTGCAAAGGGGAAGCAAAAGAAAAGAAAAAAAAAAAGAAAGAAAAACACTAAATACGAACAATAAACAACCAGAAAAAAAACACGAGAGATTAAACAGCTATCTCCTGGAGACAAATGGACAAACAATAAATCGCACAGTGTCCATGCAAAACAAAATCGATTATCTCCAAATGCTCCGTAGAATCTAAAAAAAAAAAGAAAAAAAATACAATCTTCTTGTAAACAAACACAACAAATTGTTCAATAAATCTTGGACCGATAAAAGACGTCCTTATAAGAATGAAAGAGTAATCGAAGATTTTGAAGTTTAAGGAGCGACGGGAAAAAAATCTTTAATGACATGAACATAAAGATGGAATGGAGAGGAAAGGAGGATGAGAGATGGATATGCGGGAGACGGAAGAAGAAGAAAAGAAGAAGAAGAAGGAAGAAGAAGAAGAAGAAGAAGAAGAAGAAGAAGAAGAAGAGAGAAGAAGAGAGAGAGAAGAGAGAGAGAGAGAGAGAGAGAGAGAGAGAGAGAGAGAGAGAGAGAGAGAGAGAGAGAGAGAGGAGAGAGAGAGAGAGAGAGAGAGAGAGAGAGAGAGAGAGAGAGAGAGAGAGAGAGAGAGAGAGAGAGAGAGAGATGAGAGAGAGAAGAGAGAGAGAGAGAGAGAAAGTAGAAGAAGGAGAAGAAGAAAGAAAGGAAAAAAGAAAAAAAACGAAGAAAGGGAAAGAGAGGCAGAAAGAGGAAACAAGATCGAAAGAGAGAGAGATGGAGAATAGATAGAGAGAGAGAGAGGAGAGAGAGGGGGAGAAGGAGAGAGGGAGAAAGAAGAGAGAGAGAGAGAGAGAGAGAGAGAGAGAGAGAGAGAGAGAGAGAGAGAGAGAGAGAGGAGATGAGAGAGAGAGAGAGAGAGAAAGAGAGGAGAGAAGAGAGAGAGAGAGAGAGAGAGAGAGAGAGAGAGAGGGAGAGAGAGAGAGAGAGAGAGAGGAGAGAGAGAGAGAGAGAGAGAGAAAGTGATATAGAAGGAGAGAAAGGAGAGAGAGGAGGAACGAAAGAGAGGAAGAGACAACTCGACTAAACGAGCGTGGGGAGAGCCATAATCGGATATACAATGGACTTACGTGGGAGGTCCAGTAAGTCCCCCCTCTTCCCTCTACCCCCCCGCAATCCCACCAACCCCCCCAAACTCTCCAAACCCCCCACTCCAACACTCTCCATTCCGTCCACCTCCCTCCACCCCCCCCAACTCCAACTCTCTCCATTCTCCATTTCCCACCCCCATTCCAGACACTCTCCATTTCCTCCACCTCCTCCCACCCCTACTCCAACATTCTCCATTCCCCCACCAAACTTGTCCACCCCCCATC